AGAGAGAGAGAGAGAGAGAGAGAGAGAGAGAGAGAGAGAGAGAAACAGAGAGAGAAAGAGTGGTGACGGTAGTGGTGGTAGTGATCATTTGGTGATGAAACTAGTCAGCTACTGAAAAAAGCTGCTGGCAACGTTTGCACAACTGATGCTGCTACTTCAAGGCAGTGGTGTCAACGGTGGCGCCTCAAGAAAGTGACTGGTAGTGATTGCGTACAGCCTGGCGCATGTGAATGAATTGTCGTTTTTTGGTTATCTGATCAGTGCAAACTCAAACTTTTGACATTTGGGGGCTAATGCATGTGCGACAAGCTAGTTAATAATCAATCTGGTCAATGTCGCAGCTACTTCAGCAATGATAAGTACAAAGTGCATGAGTGAGAAAATGCTGGTACGCTAATCTAACCGGTTGACAATAAAACGACAACTCTATGGTGTGCACTTTATCACAGTGAATGAATGAGTTTGAGTTTGAACAAGTGCAATCGACCTGATGCTTAATAGGAGGAGTAATTGTGATAATGCATGTCAAGTCAATTTCAGGTCAAAGTGTTAAGTGAACAGCCAAAATGGTGCACATATAAAGCAGACAATCAGTGAATGACTTGCAAACAGATTGAAGTACAGCAAGCACAATCTTGCTTTCCCTCGCTCTCTTCCCTATCTTCCCTCTCTCTCACTCACACACACTTGTAAGTATACTTTGTCAATTTATTCACTTTGCAATTGTCTAATGATCAATTATTTTGTTTCAATCATTTATAATTTTAGCACTCAATGGGTACTCCCCTGCGAGTTCAACTGGCGGCGGTCAGGGCTCTCCAAGCCATTGCCCAGCCGTCGTCTGCCCAGACAAGTGGGCTCCAAGGCCACCGGCCTCAGCAGCAGCCGCCGAAGCAGCAGCAGCAACAACAACAACGACGACGAGGAGGAGAAGGAGGATGAAGAGGAGGACAACAGCAGCAGCCGCAGCAGCAGCCGCACCACCACCAACAACAACAGCATCACCAGCAGCGGCAACAGCAGCAGCAGCACCACGACCACCAAAACCCGACGGATCGCCGTCGGGAACGACAGCGTCAAATTCGTGACGCTGTCCACGAGTTTAGGATGGACCGCCGTCGGCCCATATCAGAGCGAATTTTTATTCGCAGTGACCTGAAGGGTGGCGGCGGTCCTCGTGGATCCCGCGCCGGGCGTCTTCACCACCAACGTGAAAAGCGCCGGCAAAATGCTGGTCGTGGTAGTGGTGGTGGTGGCAGAGGTGGCGGAGGTAGCGGAGGTGGCGGAGGTGGTGGTGGTGCTAAACACCATCACCGAAACCTTATTAATGTAATAAGTTAAAAAATTCAAATAAAATTTTTGTTGTTATCTTGTTGTTGTTTTGTCTTTTCTGGTTTGGTAACTGTTTGCAAAAATTTGACTTAGAAATTGGTGCCAGCCGGTTGTAAAAAAGTTTGATTTGGCGCTAGTATCTGAGTGAAACTGCTGAACCGGTGCTGTTCTGTGGTGATCATTACTTTTAAAAACCGATCAAAGCAGATGTCAGTGTATCTTTTGTGTCGGCAATTATTTTGTTTAAATCATTTAATTTTTAGCACTCAATGGAAACTCCCCTGTAAACCTAAACATTGGGCAGACGATGTAGATCAAATTTTGGATAGCCCATGTAAGCGAATGAAAAATGTGAAAGACGCCCAAATCGGCTGCGTCCAAGATTTCTGTGATATCAAATTGCCACCACTAATTAATCGAGTAAAGCAGATAACCTTTTCAGTTTCTAGTAGAGAACAATTGGGGCAACCATATCTGCTAATTTGTTTGATCAAAAAGTGCTCACATCCCGTGCGGCCACTGTTTCAAGGTTAACGGAATAGTATAAAAACTCGATTTAAAAAAGTTTGTGCTTTAGCAAACAACCATACAAACAAACCTTGCGATACTTTGTGCGCATTTGACTGAAGTGAGTCCCAATCTTTGGTGATGCAGCACTGTATCAAAATGTCACGATTCATGGCAAGTTTTGGTACGATTCTGTGCGGTGGAGCTTTCAGGTAAATTATATGGGAAATTGTATAAATAAAAACATCTATACATCGAGGTACGCAAAAATCAAATGCCTCGCTCACATGGCCACTACTCTGTGAGCCAACAAATGCTCCCCCTCGTGGCAGACGCTTCTTGCGATTGTAAACAATGTACAGTGCAAACCACAAATCGCAGTAAACATTTGAAACGGTATCACGAAAGGTAGTAAACTAGAATTTATTTTACAGTTGTTGCTATACAGAAAGCACAAATTTGGAAACAACTTTACAGGGAAAACTAGTTTGCTCCATCATTGATGATATCTATGTAACTTGAACCGATGCGCGTCTTGCCCAGTGGCACGTAGACGAGATTGTTTCGCTTCTGGTACGGCTCATAGGGATCATCGACAAAGTAGTTGGGAATCTTGTAGCGAGCAGAGACCATCTGATCGAGAACCTTGTTCTGCTCGTCAGTGCAAAAGACGTGCTGTTTGGCCCACCAGCGAATGTAGTACGGCTTACGCCACAAGTGCTTGTGGCGACCGGCTCGGGGTCGAATCCACGCGCCCCAGTTTAGTCGGTAGAATCGTTTCAGCACGGCCCTGTTGGACCTGAACTTGCCCTGACTGTGTGAAAAGTAGATTACATTGCGTTTCGAGTTGACAGCGGTCGTTGTTGGCGCCGGCAGTAAGCTCATGCGGCTGCACAGTTGGCCAGCAAGGCTGAGTGAACCTGGAAAAAAACACAAGAATAAAGTTGAAATGGTCAGTAGCCAAGTTGAAAACAAACTTACTTTTGAGCCCGTTGAGAATGCTGCTAAAAGAGGCCATTTGTCCTTGGGTTTTCAACCTAAATTCACCGAGTTGAAAAACATGTGTTTTGAAATGGGGTGATAAACACAGTGTCTATAACGACCGCCACTGTCTGGTGACGTGCAAGTGTGTCGTTTGCCACTAGATTATTTTCAATAAAAGTGACCGACTGACAAGTTGAAAGTCACATTTGTACTTTTGCAACACTGTCAACTACTTCGGTTATCGAAGACTATCACTTTTCTATTGAACATGTCGCGTTTCAGCGTTGTCGAGGCCGCCCGTCCAGTGGAAATTTTTGCGCTGTCAAAAGCGTACAAGGAGGACACGAACCCAAAAAAAGTCGACCTTGGTATTGGAGGTGAGTTCACTTGGTGCTTTCCATTTGCTAATCATTGCCCTTTGATGACTTTTGCTTTTTGGTTTAGCAAGTAAATAAAATGTCATGCTAAGCTTTTATTTAGTGCTTTCTTCAAGGGTATGACATGTCTTTAGTGCTTTAGATATCGCCAAGATATTGCCGGTCAGTTTTATCGCAGCTACTCGAATTTGATAACGAGCAAGTAGTGAAACAAGTCGCCATTAGCTAAAACTCAAGTGTACCCAAAACAATATCCAACTTTTAATTTCCCAATTTATTTCAGCATATCGAACCAATGAGGGAAAGCCCTGGGTTCTACCTGTTGTCCGCAAAGCTGAGCAAGCCCTTTCCAAGGATGAATCGCTAAATCACGAGTACCTAGGTCAGCTTGGTTTGGACAAGTTCTCTGAGTTGGCCACCAAAATGCTTCTTGGAGAGAACAGCGCCGCCATCAAAGAAAACCGGGTACGTCCAGTACTAATTTATTGATTTTATTGATATATCGATTACACTTTATCTATCATTATCTTCAATTACCTTTTAATTAATCTTCAATTGTTGCGCTCCATTCTTGTCATGCTTCCATGAATGTACAAGGCTTTTGGCATTCATTGCTTGTCGGGAACAGGCTCACTTCGAGTCGGTGCCGATTTTCTGACTCGCTGCGCTAAATTCACTACCGTGTACGTGTCACAGCCATCATGGCGTAAGTTGCCTACCATTTATTTACCGGGTTAAATTTTAAAAAACGATTAACTAATTGCTTAGCAAATCATCGACTAGTCCTTCTCCACGCTGGATTCA